AGCGAGGTACGAAGAACGGACCCCTGAACTCTGAACCTGTATCTACAGCACTGACCTTTGACTCTCAGCTCCACCTTTTTCTTCAGCAGGATGTTTCTCTCGCTGCCGTAGACGACGCTGGTGTAGATACCCGTGTCTCCATCTGTGGGGTATTTCAGGGTCAAACTGAGGTCTCCAGTTTTCAGCGGGTCTTCATTCATCTTCGTTCTTTCTGTGTAGATCTTGTCCTGTTCTTCAGGCTGGTCAGAGCTCTTCTGATACACGTGGACCTTCATGTCGTATGTGTTTGTCCACTCAATGGTTGCTATGTCAAGCAGGGGAAGTTTTGAAGAGGTTTTGAAAGGCAGCTGGACAAACTCCTCCCCTGAATCCACCTCCACCTGGGGGACTGAGAGGACAACAAAGCACAACATGAGCTGTACAGACATGAGCAGCAGCAGTGTGTACATTTTCTTTGACCGGATGAAGTGAAATATTTTTAGTGATGTTTGTTTGGAGTCTGAAATATGTCCCATTACTCTACTGTGTTGTATTTATCTGTCCAATCAGCAGCAGAGCTGATGTGTCCAGAGTCAAACCTTTATTTGATATTAATGACGAAACAAGGCACTGGCTCAAAAACTGAATCACTACACACATGGTTGAAAATGATAAACTATGTTTCAGTCACCTTTAATACATCGAGTTTTACGCCAACGTTTCAAAGCTCCACCTGAAAGAGTGAAGCTCTTCAAACATAATCAGTGATTTCAACTGAAGCAAACTCCGCCCACAGTTTCACAACAATAAATAAAGTGTAGTTCAAAGCCTCGAGGTAACATCACTATTTGGTGTTTTTAAAAAAGAAAATCAGGATGTTCACTGCAGGAAACTCTGATTCCAGAGGGACGTCATTCTCTGTCAGCCTTCATCATCAGGATGGAAAGTGAAAGTTATCAGAAAGTTAGACACATCATTGGATCTACCTGAAACAGCTGAGGCATATCGTGTCTTACATGAAAATGTGAAATGAAATAATATTTACCATTTAACTTTATTTTATCTGAAATATACAGAATGATCACATCTTTTCATCCTTTCATCTTCTTCAGCTTATTTGGGGTGAGGTCATGGGGGCAGCAGCCTAAGCAGAGAAGCCCAGACCACCCTCACCCTGGCCACCTCCTCCAGCCTGGGAACAACTTGTTTCATAATTTGAGAGCTTCACTCAACTCTCTCTTCACCACTATGGAGAGGTACTGATCAAATATGGTAAATAACCTACAAGAATGTTGTTGTCTGAAAATCCAAAAGATTTAACGAACTGACTAAGACATCAGTTTATTCCACCTTTTTGTTTCCTTTATTGGAAATGTTCAGTTTTATGCGTTTTGTTTTTTTCTTAATCTTGTTGTTCTGAAGACGACGTTACAAACTGAAAGTCTCTGTTAGCTGCAGAGCTCTGAAACTTCACACAGCTTTGGATGATAACATGGAGAAAGGATGTGGAGATGTTCACACTTCTGCTAGAAATCATCTTCTAGTTATTGTGAAAAGGACTGTATAAGGACCAGTCTGTTTACCATTTACTGAGTTCTGATCTTTGACGTGTATCTACAGCACTAACCTTTGACAGTCAGCTTCACGTGTTTCTCCATCAGGATGTTTCCCTCCCTGCTGTAGATGGTGCAGGTGTAGGTGTTTGTGATTGTCGGGTATTTCAGGGTCAGACTGAAGTCTCCAAGCGTCAGCAGATTTTTCCTCATCTTGGTTCTGGCTTTAAAATCTGGGTGCTGGTATTCAGGCTTGTCAGAGCCGTTCTCATACACGTGGACCTTTCCATTTTTATCCGTCCACTCCACTTTACCATCTGCAGGCAGGCGAACTGTGGCTTTACAGGGCAGCAGGACAGACTCCATCCCTGAATCCACCTCCACCTTGTAACCTTTGAGGACAACAAAGCACAACATGATGACGTCAGCAGCAGCTGTGATGGTCACATGACCTCCCTGTCCCTCCTTGTCTTCTAGTCTCAGTCAGATTGTGTCTCAGTTTGTTCCTGATGTGTTCCTGACTCGTTCTTTGGTAACTAGTCTGCAGCGTCCTGTAAAGTGCTGCAGACATGTTGGATGAAGAAGCACAGACAGACTGAGCCTCC